TTCCAGGTGTGAGTTCATTCAGAATCTCCAGGATACCTAGTTACATCTTGAATGGGGTGACCTCAAACAAAACCCTGTCCAAAGATAGACTTCCAAGGCCCCCAAACTCAAGACAATGTTGTGGGACACGTTGCATGAATTCTCACGAGGGTTCCAACTCTCATCCCGCGCTGCACAGGCCGATGACAGCTCCATTTGCAGAGTCAGATCTCCACTGCGAAGGCGGCCCAAGAACCTGGGATGGGGATTCAAGGGAAAGCTCAGTATAGGCCAAGCGGATTATTGAAATCAAGGAAAATGAAAAGTTTTCAATAAGAACCCCAGCAACTTTTTCTCCAACGGTTCTTGCACATTGGGAACTTGGCCTGTGAGCTCTTCCACAAGGGCACCTGGTATGGTGTAGTATGTTTCACTGACTTGCTATTGTGTTTTGTGGGCACTTTTGAAAGCAGAACCAAAACTTCCTTTTGATACTGAGACAGGGCACACGCCAGTGCTGTCACTTCAGCCTTGCCCTCCAACTCCAGCTTGGTCACCCGTTTCCGGTATGTTGCTGGGGTGTTGGAGAATTGTGAATGTACCATTTCAAAAAGCAAAGTCACAGACTCCTTGGTGTTCTTAAGCCTGTGTGCCCATGGAGATGTGCGAGCAACCTTTCCAGTCTTCGCATTGAACCCAACAAGAATCTTCTTGGTCCCAAAGCAGTCATCACTGTAGGGGCAACCTTGATCTAAGCCAGTGTTGACAGGCCAAACCAAGCTGAAATGAATTGTTTGACCCAAAATAGGCCTTTAGAATGCAAATGGAAGTGTCCTTTTCAGATTGCTTTTTTTGCAAAACCCACTGAGAAGGACACTCAGCAAGAAATGTGTTCATGTAAAACTTCAACCCCCACTTGGCACCCAAGGAGCTTTCCCAACCATAGAAGCTCACAGTCTGTAGAATGCAGTTGCGGGCAGTATCTGGCAACTCCAACAACACCTTCACAGCAGTCTGTTTGAATCCCACGATTCTGTCATGCCGTGGAGCCTCCTCATTCCTTAGAACTGAGAGATTGAGCTGGGAACAGTTTTGGGTGCATGTCGATTCAGGTAGTAGCTTAAAACCTGGCACAAAAAACAGTGAACATAAAGTTGACAAGATTCCATTGTCGGATCAAGGATTGTGCATCCGTTTGCCCCCAAGCAGACAGATTCACAAAGGCATACACCCATGATATCGCTGATGGGGCACGCCGGATGCTGTTTTTTGCACTCCGCTTCATATTGAAGAACCTGGGCAACTTGGGGATGTTATCCTTATTGGATACATGTTTGTAAAATGTTGCACAACTACCTTTAAAATAGAATGGAGCAAAGAAATACAATGTGTTCAACAGACCAGGGTACAGCTCAGTTTTTTGGTCTTTCAGTCGGATGTGTTTGCACTTGATCCGTTGCAAGGAGTTCTTCAAAACTTGTGGGACCTGAAGCCATAAGGGACAAACAGGGCCTCAATAGCAAACTTGGAAGACACTTCAAAACCAATTGAGTTGGGGAAAGCCCAATGGCCTCTTTCCCCAGCTTGTGGAAAGCAAGCACGACTGCCATCGCGGTTTGCACCCTCCCTGCACCCTTCAGGTACCAAATGCTTCCAAGATCGATGTGTCCATTCTCTGGGAGGACCGACATCTGCAGGGAACAGGGTTGGCAGGGTTTACAGGACCAAGATCAAACATCTTTTAGACATGCCATAGTTCAAAATGGGTTTGAGGAATCATTTGCCTGCAATCTGATGAGAACAGGTTCCCCTGTTGTTACAAAGCCATCTTTTTCGAAGTTGTTGATCAGTTTCATGGCAACATCCAGGGTTGGCGGTTCTCGCAGACTGCTCTCAGTCTCTGTGCTGAAGGCCCAAAGGGGCAAGTAGAAAGGGTCTTGTTCATCTTCTGCACCTTGACCAGGACAGAAAACAAACCCAGATCAAGGAGAGCTGAGTTTTAACTTGTTTTACACCCAAACACTGTGCATGTATGCTTTTTGAGCCAGCCCACCTTCTAAGCAGGTGGGGATTGGATAATCTGTGAGATAAGGGACATCCCCAGGATCACCCAGAACATCCATCAGAACTGCAGCGATTCGAGATGGCCTTTCCGCTCGAATTGGAAAGGACAAGTGTAGGAACTGCCGTGGTCCACCAGCACCTCATACACAACTCACCCCAGCAATAACTGAGGGTTATGTCATGTGTTTATTCAAAAAACTATTGGTCATGGTTGAGACTAAGACCCAAAACACAGCCACCAACCATCAAAGGAACCTTCGATAAGCTTTGTGATGTCTTCATAAGTTGAGTCAAAGACAGAACCCAAAGCCACTGTGGTTGCCGTCTCCACCTCTGAAGGCATTGGCACCTCGCTTTCAGCAGTTTGTGCCTCTGATACAGCATCTGGAGCTGGAATTAAGAAGTCGAGGTTGCGGAGCCGGTCCTAAGTAAGATAGGGCTGTTTCTAGAATCTTTGAGCCTTAAGCCATTAATTGGTGGGATCAGTCAACACCTCAACCTGTAAGATTACACAATTTGGGATCCAAGCTTCAACAAGCTCCAAATCCTCCTCTGCCATGGGGTCGCAACCATGAAATGGATTTGATCCAAAAGTCAACTACCGGAAACCATTAAATCCCAAAATCAACAGATCTCAGTGTCTCAATTTCTTCACATGGAGTTCTAGCGATTTCAGATGAAACGGCTGGAAGTCTTATGTGAGCTAATAGAGATCTATAGAAGTCAGGGTCTGGAAAATGAGAGGCAAGATCTATTGGCACCTGTGGTAAGGGCTGGGTTTAGATAGCTTTCAAATGATATCACTAGATCTCCCACCCACAAAAATCCAACCATGAGATCTATTGAATCTGGCTTGAAATAGATTTACAAAAAATTATTGCAGTTGATTCCGGGTCGCCTATCCTCCGATTTCTAGCGGTTTCATCTGAAACGGCTAGGTTTTCCACCCCAAATCAACCGCAAGAGAAGCAACTCCATTTTTCCTATACTGCTGGCTGCTGACAGTTACTTGAAGGCTTCAAAGTTTTTTGCCTCCTCCATCACTGAAGTGGCAAGTCCATCCACCATAGCAGGTGGATACGTTTGTGCCCATACAGACCGTTTCATTCCCTGCTCTGACCCCTGGATCTGTTGGTGGGTATGACTTTGGTGGCAGAGCTTGCCATGGAACACCTTCTGAACTGCGGCACTGTTGGTGAGAAGACACGTTGCCTTTTTCATAGGGATGCCCCCTGGCGAGACCAGGCCAAACTGGCATTGGTCAAAGAAGCATAGGTGCACACCAAGCTGTTGCTGCACTCTCTTCACCTAAGGCATCAGTCAGAAACAAGATGTTTAATTTGGTTTCTAATGGTCACCATAAACAAGATGTCTCCACATGAAAAGAAACCAACAAAGTTGAGAGGTGACAAGGGGAGCACATAAGAAAGCTTATGTGCACCCTTTGTGGCCTCTCAACTTGTCTTAGAACAAGTTGTTTGATACAAAACACTTCATAGTTCCATCAAGCCACAGAGGGTCGATCCCATGCCAGTGAACCAGCAGGGTGTTCAAACACGAAGAACAGTCCAAGGCTAATCTGAACCATTGCCATCCACATGGCGCAGTCAATCAGACGAAGCCCCTCCTCAAGGCGCAACCACCGCCGTTGTCGATTCATCCTGTTCCAGTTACTCCGCTGTAACTGGCACAGCATTGTGCAAGGTGGGGACACTATGATGAAGAGCGGTCGAAGCAGTAGGAGGTCCTGGATGACCAATCGTAAAAATCCCCATTCACCAAGATCCCACCAATGGGCAAGATCATATGATCTTCTAGCACGTCCATTGAGCGATCGAATCTTTGGAGTGCATCGGGGCTTGGAAAACAACTCCCATGCATGACAGCGTGTCATTGGTTCAGGGTCTGGTCCAGCCATCAACGAGTTCAAATCCTGAAATGGATGGTTAACCTCTGAATCAATGTTGGCAGCTGCCAGCTTCAGTGTTGAATCATCACAGTCCAAAAGATTCTCATTGGGTGGCTCCTTGGGACAGGTTGTGGACAACGGCGGTGATGACTTGGTAGTGGCAAGTGAGTGAACCTCAAAACCATCATCATCATCTGGGAGCACCAACGGTTTCGATGATGATGCATGCGCTGCTGGTCTTTTGGCAGCGGTCTTTGTCACACTTGTACTCTTGGTCTTCTTTTCTTTTTTGGACTTTCTGGTGCCAACAACAGGTGGCGACGTAGGCAGGGACAGGGTGTCAAAGAAGTCACCACTGTCATCATCTTCAGGAAGTTCAAGCATGGCTCAACCCGCCCAGCTTAGATTCAGGAGGTGGTCAAACACATCACTATTGTTTGCTTGGGATGTCCAGCCCTTCTCACGCAAAGCTGAACAAGGGACCAATTGCATACTTGTGCCATGGGGGGGTTGTCAACTCTTCAGATCTTGTGACACAACATCTACCCCAGCCCCCCTGGCCCCCAAGAGCTTCAATTCCATGCCAGCAGGAAATCAAAAAGGCACAGACAAATGATTGATGGTAAGGCTCAACCCAAAGACATCACTCACCAGTGGCGGGGTCCAACCAAGCGAGGTCAAGAGACCACAAAATAAATAGGGCCAACTGTGTAGTAGTTGGCCCTATTCATTTTGTGTCCTTGTAAGACATCTCTTGTGGTTACACAAACATCTCATGAAGTGAAGATTAGAACAGGTTGACAAAATGCAATGACACTTAATAGACACTTATCTCAATTTTGTTGTTCTCCAGGTCCACCGTTCAGTGGTCCACTGAGCCAACCTTTTTGCAGTGACAGCTACGCCTCCCCACGACCACAGATATAGGTTTGGCCCATATCCATGCCCCAAGCTAAGCTAGGATTCGTACAACACCCAATGATGTTGTAGCACACCACACCAATCATGTTGCGATTGATGGGAAAACCCCTGCGGTTCAACCTAAGATCTAGTTCTTCAGACTTGCCTTGCCACGAGCACGCTTCCTGCCAGGCTCCTTGGCATTGGGCTTCGCTGCTTTGCATTTTCCACCTCCCTTTCCACGGCCAGCCACTCGACCGCGGGAAGCCGCTGGACCATGGGAGGAGGCATCAGGACAAGCATTTTCCTTTTTCAGGAACTCTTCAATCCCCTTCTCAGCCGATTCATGTTCTACACATAGCTTCCAGTAGACCCTTTCTTTGCCATCTCGCCAAAGGGTACTTGGGGCCAATTGGTAGAACTTCTCACGGCGGGAATCAAACAACTTTGCTGACTCAGTGTCAGTGGGCTTCTTCCTCCCTGCAAAAGTGGCTCTGGTAGGCCAAGGGGGCATACCATCCCTAGCGTTGGAGCCCATACCATCACCAATGATAGGGCATGGATCTGCAGGGGCTGGTGGCACCACAGTGCCCCGTTTCCTGGAGGAGGGCCCAAAAACGATCTCACCCTCACCCTGTGCCTTGATAGCTGCAGCCCTGGAAGTCTTGGCTTTCTTGGCTGGCTCATTTAGAATCTCACCCTCAGGCTTCTCACCCACAACAGGCTCAGGTTTCTTTCTGGGGCGTCCCCTTTTCTTGGGCACTGCATCAGCATGGTTGCCCTGCATGACAGTGACCTTCTTCACAGGGCCCGGTGCAAACTTCTCCCACCTTGGATTCTTTCAGGGTTCAAGAGAGGACTCAAAAATAATAGAATGTATTGGTATTATTGGTCCTCTTGACCTCTTGGAATGGAACGGCCCAAAAATCTCAACCCAAAGGCCCAAAGAACATCAGATAGAATACTATGGGTGCACAACAACTAAACCATTCCCACAGATTTGCAAACACCTTATTAATAAGTTGAGGCTCCCTTCCGGGGACTGGTGCACACCAAGAGGGCGAATGTCATCAGACCACCACCACTTTGGTTCTGGGACAGCAGGCCATTCTTGGCTCTCATTCTGGTCCTTAGTTGGTGAGGGAGGGAGATGGGTGTTGTTTTAATGAAATGATTCAGATGTGTATTTCCACCTGTGGCAATTTGCTGTTTAATTTTTAGAAGATTTAGAAGGCAAATTGGAGTGGACATATTTGTTCCACAGAGGTTTCCCCAAAGTCCTGCCAGATAGGCCAAGTGTCCAGCCAATCACGCAAGGCCTTTGCAGCCTTCACCAGGCACCAGGGTTCCTTCTCCACAAGATCAGCCGTTTTGCGAAACCTGAGGGAAGTGGTGCCAAGTCTCACTATCACATTGCCATGTGTGACTTGCTCTTAAAGTTTCAGGGGGGAAAGAAGAACTGAAAGTTTGTTGGAAGTAAACTGCTGCGGGTAAGAAACTCCTTTCTTGCACGATCTGCCACCAGCTTTCGTGGTAATGCTTCAAGTGGCTTCTTGAGCAATTTCTGGAAGCTAGCAGGAAGGAGAACCAAGGGAGATTGTGAGAGTGATGGGGAATTCACCAGGTGCTTCACCAGCAGGACACAGTCACTAGCATCGTGTGGGTAGTCTTCCTTATTATTGAGCCGTGGCCATTTGTCACCAAATCAAAATTGAAAACACGGTTCTTCATTACCACTTTCCTGCTTTGGATTTCAGGTACCAGGTAACACAAAGTCCCCAATATTCTGCTAAGTTTCACCTGGGATTTCCACAGGCACCCAAGACTCATCAGTGGCATCATCATAGACTGGAAGGTCCTTGGTGCACATATTCTAGGTGAACCAGGTGAACCCACACATTAATATATTGTATGCAAATCATGAGGCAAAGTTCCCAAAGACATAGGGGGGCCCACTAGCCTACCAACCAAGAAGTTGCCAATGAGCAAAAATAAGGGTCACTGCGGCGAATGAAGCGCCAACAGTGGTTGGGATCAGCCACATCATGGTAAGTGTTCACTAAACCTGCAACTTCAACCCCAAGCTGGGACACATAGCTCTTGAAGTCCAATGTCCCTGGAAGGAGTTCAGCCTTCAGCTTGCGCCCTCGGGCCGGCTTCACGTTCTCCAGGATCACTTGAACAAAATCCTGACAGGATTTGGGGTCCCATCAACCACCAAGTAAGTTCTAACTCCCAATTGAACATTAGGCTTTTGTCA